CTAAAAACTGTTGGTGTAAATTATTCCTTCTCCACCCACCAACCCCCCCACCATCACTACAGTTACACCCAATCGACGCACATATACACACACACACACACACCCTTTTGCTGTATAGGGGAGGGTTAGTGCAACTCACATTGTCATGAGCAGCAGTCCGGTCACTTAAACTTTCAGCTATACTTTTAAGGGTTTCTGAAAGCTGCTGTGTACTTCAGAAAAAAATAAAGGAAACCGTATGTGCAGAGGAAAATGATAACAAAGACACAATACTTACTGAGAATAGTTGTAGATGCAGCAGTTTCACAAGAGGAATGAAAAGTAATCGCGCAGACAATGTTTAACACTTTTTGTCATTTGTTATTAAGTTACATGCTAGATATTATGTGTGTCATATTTGCCAAAAGTGCTATAAATGTGCACTAGTATGTCTTTGTGAATTTGTTTACATGTTTACATGTTAATGTGCTTTTTAATATTGATGCTTGATTTTATAGTTTTACCTGGATTACAGTGAACTGCGATGAAGACACAAGTGGCAACAAAATATAGTAGAGAACGCCACCTTGTGGTTTAGTATGAAAACTGCGAGGGTCATAAAAGTGTCCCTGTTTTACAGTGAAATGTAACATGAGACCTAAAGTAATTTAAATTTAATGTCACCAAGAGGTTAATTCGGCTGTTATCAGCTAACAGGGATGAAGGAACAGCATCACTTAAGAAAAAATGTTTGTCACTTTTTTGCACTCTTCCTAAGATCCCATTATTCTTTGTTCGTTGATTTCTGTGTTGAGATTACTGTACTTGACTTTTGCATGAAACCTTTTTATAATAATGTACAACAGACAGAAAGAGAAGGTAGAAAACAAATGAACAAATATTGGTTCTTTGGCATTGTGGTCAGAGGTCAAATTTTCTAAAAAATCTTGTGAACATGATAACTCGAGAAACATATCACCTTGGTATTCAAATTGATACCATAGGCCAAGGGTAGGCAACTCCAGGCCTCTAGGGACAGTGTCCTGCAGGTTTTACATGGGTCCTTGATCCAACACAGCTGATTCAAATGGCTAAATTATCTCCTCAACATGTCTTGAAGTTCTGGTAATGAACTAATCATTTGATTCAGGTATTTTGACCCAGGGTGATATCTAAAACCTGCAGGACACCGGCACTCAAGGCCTGGAGTTGTCTACCCCTGCCATTGGCTCATCTGCGACAAATCCCACATGAGTTCAAATCTTAATAATGGTGTCAAGGCTGAGGTCAGAGGTCAGGTTTTCCAAAAATCTCGGGAATGCGATAACTCAAGTAGGTGACCAAAAATTTTCAAATTTATACATAGATGCATCTATTAGGAAACTGAGCAGCCATCAGTATTTTTTATTTCACTTGTTTCATTCTATATGAATGACAAACAAACTCATGAACAGAAACATACAACTGTTACGATCCTGGGTCATTTGACCCAGCGTTTTGAGTTTTAATATATTTTGATGTTTATGGTTTATGTTGAAGTTCATTACGTTATCTAAGTTCATTTGTATTTTGTCTATGTTTCCCTGTTTTAGTTTATTGTTTATTAGATTCCCCTTGTGTCTGCACCCATATGTTTCAGTCTCCCTCGCTCTTCGCATGTTTCATGTCTGCGTGTCCTATGTTGTCACTCTTGTGTTTTGTCTGCATCTCATTATGTTTCCTGTTTTATTTTGAAGAGGTCTGATGTCCTATGTTCATTGTGTTTAGTTTTACTTCCAGTGTGGCATCATTATATTCATTTTAATCAGCTGTTTCCCCATGTGTTTACACTTGACCTGATCACCTCCTGTGTGTCTGCATGTTTTTATTCATTCCTTATCAGGTTGTCTGTGGTTTCTTTTCATGTTTCCAAGTCTTCAGGTTTCAGGGTTTTCTACACTGAACAAAAATATAAACGCAACACTTTTGTTTTTGCTCCCATTCCCCATGGGATGGACGTAGAGACCTAAAATTCATTCCAGATACACAATATAACCATCCCTCCCAAACAGTGGTCACAAATCAGTCCAAATGTGTGGTAGTGGGCACATCTGCTATATTGAGATAATCCATCCCACCTCACAGGTGTGCCACATCAGGATGCTGATCTGACATCATGAGTAGTGCACAGGTGTACCTCAGACTGCCCACAACAAAAGGCCACCCTGGAATGTGCAGTTTTTTTGCGCTATTGGGGGTCTGGGGACCCAGAACCGGTCAGTATCTGGTGTGACCACCATTTGCCTCATGCAGTGCAACACATCGTCGCATGGAGTCTATCAGATTGTCAATTGTGGCCTGTGGAATGTTGGTCCACTCCACTTCAATGGCTGTGCGAGGTTGTTGGATATTCGTGGGAACTGGTACACGCTGTCGTATACGCCGGTCAAGCACATCCCGAACATGCTCAATGGGTGACATGTCCGGTGAGTCATGCTGGCCATGCAAGAACTGGGACATTCTCAGCTGCCATCTGCCCTGAACAATGTGAACCATGATTCATCCGTGAAGCGCACACCTCTCCAACGTGCCAGACGCCATCGAATGTGAGCATTTGCCCACACAAGTCTGTTACGGCGACGAGCTGGAGTCAGGTCAAGACCCCGATGAGGACGACGGGCATGCAGTTGAGCGTCCCTGAGACGGTTTCTGACAGTTTGTGCAGAAATTGTTTGGTTGTGCAAACCAATTGTTCCAGCAGCTGTCTGGGTGGCTGGTCTCAGACGATCTTGGAGGTGAACCTGCTGGATGTGGAGGTCCTGGGCTGGTGTGGTTACACGAGGTCTGCGGTTGTGAGGCCGGTTGGATGTGCTGCCATATTCTCTGAAACGCCTGTGGAGACGGCTTATGGTTGAGAAATGAACATTCAATGCACGGGCGACAGATCTGGTTGACATTCCTGCTGTCAGCATGCCAATTGCACGCTCCCTCATTGCTTGTGGCATCTGTGGCATTTTGCTGTGAGACAAAACTGCACATTCCAGGGTGGCCTTTTGTTGTGGGCAGTCTGAGGTACACCTGTGCACTACTCATGATGTCAGATCAGCATCCTGATGTGGCACACCTGTGAGGTGGGATGGATTATCTCAATATAGCAGATGTGCCCACTACCACACATTTGGACTGATTTGTGACCACTGTTTGGGAGGGATGGTTATATTGTGTATCTGGAATGAATTTTAGGTCTCTACGTCCATCCCATGGGGAATGGGAGCAAAAACAAAAGTGTTGCGTTTATATTTTTGTTCAGTGTATGTTTAACCTTAGTTTACCCAGTTTAGGTTAGTGTTTAATTTTCCCGTTGCCCCTTGTTTTGTATGTTCAAAACCAGCCATTAATCAATGGCTCGTTTTCAGTTAATATTAATTTTGTTTCCACGTTTTGCTTTGCTGCATTTGGGTCCTTTATTGTCCACTCCACCCAATCTGCTTCTGCACACTGTGACAACAACAGTAAATTCATCATGCAAGATCAAATAACATGCCATTTTCTGGGAGTGCCTTTTAAGTAATATTAAGATTCTGTTATTACTAACAACTAAACACTAATATTTGCCCTAACATGAGTTAGGTGCAGTTTGTGTTTATCTGTGTGTAACACATTTTGAAATACTTGGCTGTCCCAGCGTCACACAAGTCATAACTGGTGAAACTATTGAAAAAGCCATATGATTCCATACTAGTGTTCACTGGTGGACAGTTTAATGACATAACACATAATGTTTAATGATTTGTGAGTAATCCAGTAATGTCTACGGTCATTTCTGATAAATGCATAAAACTTACATGCATAGTGGTATTCCAAAAGTTCCTTATTGTCATCCCTTGTCTACTTATGCCTTCTTGTTCTAATAGCTGACTTTTCATCAGTGTGTCCTGGTTCCTCAACCCCTGATGAAGACCATGTCAGGTGAAGGGAAGTGGACTCAGAGGCATGGCTCGCTGTAGATGTGTAGAATATTTATTTAATGACAAAGTGAGTAATTAAGTAACGTAATGACTCCAACACTGGCTGCAACCATACCCTAGAATTAAATACATATTCTTTAAATAATGTTCCCTTTTAGAAAAAGTAGGATAATTTAAAAAAAAACATTTATTATAGGTCTGTCACGTAGAAAAAAACCTGTCTCTTTTCTGTGGTCTGTTATATAACATTAGGGGTGTTCGTGGCAATTAACTTTTTAATCGACTAAGCGGGTCAAGTAAGAAACACTTAAATATTAAGTTACATTTGAAAACTGTTTAACATCTGTGAAACTGGAAACTGGTTTCATTGTTTCACGTTTGGCTGTCAAGCCAAGGGGTGAGTTTTCACACCCCTAGAAGCAAACAACAACACCCACAAAAAAGTGCTTTGATATTCTCTGAAAGCAAACTTTCAGAAGAGAAACAGATAAAAGTGGTGATGAAACCACAGACAGCAAGGTGATGCACAAAGTGTTTGATTAGTTGTTACTCTTTTTCTGTATCTAATTACTCATCTTACATCTCTTACATTAAAACTGTATTGTTTTTCTTTTCAGTTTACAATTTCAATTCATTTGATTATTTATAACATCCAAAACCCAATTTAAAACAAAGTTAAATATAATGTATATGTCTTTAGTTATCAGTGTTTGCTCCACAATGAGAGCTGTTTCCTTACTGAAACCAGGTTCTGGGTTCAAACTTCCTGGTCGGTTTGCAGTTTTTATGTTTATTTCATATGTTTGTTAGTTTATTTTGTGGCTTCAGCCCTGCCATGATCCTGGCATATTAATTAAATTCTTTCACCCAATTACCCATTCAATTTAAAACACAACACAACAATTTACATTTAGGAATGATAAAAATGAATTAATTAATTTGTATAAGATACTTAAATAAATTTATACACATAGCATAATCGATGTGTTTCACATAGCAAATCAGTTATCTTTGCATTAACAAACTTTTCAGAATTATCTTGAATAAAGGATGTGGTTAGAAGCACTATAAATGTGTCAGCTTGACACGCCTACAATGAAGTGAACCGTTTTCCTGGCATCATGCACGGTCTGCAAATAATTCTGCTACTCAATGTTTTGATATGTCTCAAACAAGCTGGTATAAATTACAGTTTTTAGTCATTATTCTCCAAGCATTTCATATGGGCATTAGCATGTTTTTTTTTTCTTTGAAGCACGTGGAAGTGACATCATTGGTGGGGAGAAAGTCCCAAGGAAGTCAATGTTGTATATGGTCTCAGTGCAAAACAAAAGTGGTCATATATGTGGAGGATTTCTGATCACCGAAGACTTTGTTGTCACTGCTGCACACTGTGATAATGAGTAAGTATCAGTCTTCGTGTCATTTAACAGGTTTAGGAAATGTATTGAGTGCCTCTCAATAATCTTTGTTTCAGATACCCCACGCACGTTGTTCTCGGTAACCACAATCTCAACAAAGGCCAAAAAATAAGTATCATTAAAAAATTCAAGCCTAGATTCTATCTAAGTGTTTTACTGGGTGACGACATCATGCTGCTTAAAGTAAGTACAACAGTTTGAAGTGACATAGTTGAGTGATCTAATTATCTACGTTACATTACAGCATAAGAATTTTGAATGTTAACTTTGTGATTTGATTTTGTATCTCTTCAGCTTTCTAGAAAAGCTCAGCTAAGCGACATAGTAAAAATAATTCGACTTCCAACTGCTAAAATAAACCTAAATGAAAATGAAGTGTGCAAAGTGGCTGGATGGGGAATAACGGAAAATGGTACTCTAACCAATATACTGAGGGTGGTGAATGTGCCTGTCATTAACAAGAAAGTCTGTAAGAAGCAATATTCTGTCATAAATATACGTCTTCCCGCCAACGTTATCTGTGCAGGTGGCTACCCCACACACAAGGGATTCTGCCAGGTATGTTTTCTTCTTCTTCCTTTCACTGAAATTAATAACTGGTCTCTCATTGTCAAATGTATAAACACCTTAAAATTCTTCCTTTTCACAGGGTGATTCAGGTGGTCCTCTAGTGTGCGCAGGATTAGCTGTTGGTATTGTTTCTTTTAAAAAAGGCAAGTGTAACTACCCTGAAGCACCCAATGTTTATACAGACATCTCAAAATACCTCCTGTGGATCAATGCAATTCTGAAAAACCCAAATAGTTATTTGTAAAACTACAATTGTTTTTCTGCTGTATTGCTTCATTTTGCTGTCATTTTCTTTGTGTGACCAAAAACAGAAATAAAAATTGTATCTGCTAGTCCACGGTCTGGTTTTATTAGTAACAATATCAGAAGGGAAATATTTCATTAAAATAATAACAAGGGAGTCCAGAAAATAATTTGGTGTCACATGAAGAATAAGCAACATATAGTAGTATTAAGGTTATCACCATTACCATTTCAAGATGTTGCTGTTTTTCCATAAGATTAAAGTGACATCTTTTAGAGACCAGTATGTGTCACCACAGTAGTGACAGTACATCTACACTGCTACACTGACTGGAACTATTTCACAGAGTGAGAGTGAGATGTCAAATAATCAATAGTGAAAGCATTATTTTTGCAATATATTTGGCAGCTAATGAGAAACAAACTAAATACTAACGAATATTCAATGTGTACATGACTGCTGAGTGAGCAACAGCAATAACCGTAAAAGAGACACTCATGTAATCTACAATGATGGGTAGATAAGGTCAAAATGTTATTAGTATTGATGCCATCTAGTGGTGTACAGATTGATACCAATTTTTCCTATATAAAATACGTTCTAGAATCAATTCTCATATTAAAATATTGATATTAAAATAATTTGTGGTAAATTAGAAGTTTATGATTGACAGGAAAACAGTGGAAATTAGCTATATTATTGAGATTGTCTAAATGATTGGTAGGAACTACTATTTCTGCTTGTCATGGTGATATGAGAAATAAATGCATCACAGCTCACATAGTAATCAAATCTGGCAGTCATTTAATCTCTTATGCATATCACTAAAATAGTTTAGAAAAAGTACTGACTGCATCTTAAGGATGTAATTTTGCTGAAGGAGTAATGAGTTTTTTAAAATTTGTTCACAACAGTGCTCTAACTGTACATCACCAAGTTGATTAAAAGAATGTATAGAGCATTGTTGTAAACTAATTTTGTACTGTGGTAATTTGTACATCCACATGCTTTTAGAATGTTTATAGATATGGATGGTCCAGTTTTGGATCACTGGGTGGTTGTCATACTCCGAGAGCAGGCAGGACTCAAACGCCGACTCCGAATGCAGTTCTGTGAATTTATATACAATGATAGTAAGCCCCAGGGAAGGCCCAGGACACCCAGGACCAGAGATTATATCTCTCGGCTGGCCTTAGAACATCTGGGAAGGCCTTGGTGTTCCCCTGGACAAGCTGGAGGAGGTGGGCTTCTCTGCTAAGGCCGCTGCCCCCGCAACCCGGCCCCAGATAAGTAGAAGAAGATAAATGAATGAATGAATGAATAACCAGAGTAAACATAAAATGCTCTTTGTAAATGATTATTTTATTAAATAAAGAAGAATTGTTATCCAAATCTACCTGGTCCTGTGTGAAAATGAAAGTGCCCCTTTTGTTAAAAATAAATTAACTGTGATTAACCACATTTTTTAGTTTAGTTTCACTAAACACACTCAGGCCCAATTACTGGCAGACTGGGTAAATCAAGAACTCAGTTCAATAGAACCCATGTGACAAATCAAAGCAGGCTAAAAGAACTCAATAAACAACACTTCATACAGCAATCTAAAGAAACACTTGAGAAACAAAGTCACTGATAACTCTGTGACCAAAATTACTCCAAGCGCACATCCATGAATTATCCAGGTCACAAAAGTACCCAGAACAACATTAAAGAACCTCAGGCTTCACGTGTCTCAGTCAAGCTCAGTTCATGATTAAACAATAAAAAAAACTGGGCAAAAATGGCATCCATGGGACAGTTTAGGAGAAAACCATTGCTGACCAAAGAGACATTTGCTAAAACATATCTTGATGATCCCCAAGACTTGAAAGACTGGACAAATACTTTGTGGAATAATGAGACAAAAGTTTAAATTTTGGAAGGTGTGTGCACCATTACTCTCTGGCATAAAACAGTCAAAGTCAAAGTCAACTTTATTGTCAATTCTGCCACATGTACAGGACATACAGAGAATAGAAACTTCGTTACTCTCAATCCCTAGATAAAATAGAAAAAGAACATTTAAATATAAGAGTGATTAAAAATGCAAGTAAAATATTTTAAAGTAAAAATTAAATAATATAATACAATTTTACATATAACAAGAAAGCTATACAATATACAATATAAGGGTAAATGACATTGGGTGCAAACCAGGCAGAGTAGTGCAAATAAGCAAATAGTGCAAATGGAGATTTGGTAATGTACGGTATGAGATAGTGTAACACAAAGTCTTATGAGGTAAGCATTTCAAAAAAGAAAAATAATACAGAAAGTAAAATATGTTGTGGTTGTGTGACGATCTGGTTTGGCCTGCTTTGCACAAACATCAATATACACGTGCATAACACAAATAGGACCATGAAAATAGGTCATTACACAACTACAGAAACTGCCATGTTTGCTAACCGTACTGCTCTTCCGGATATCTTGATTGCTGCATTCCTGTTTTTCAGTCTGTTAGAAATGATCATGGAGCTTCTGCACGTGCGCTCCAACAAAACAGTGCTTTTAATTATATTTTGTGAGTTAGATGTATCAGGGATCCTGCACAAAGTACTTCTGTGTGTGTAGCTTGTATACATATATCTCCATGTACACGTGATAGCATTTAGTCTACATCACTCTGTTAATTAAGCTGGAGCTCGGAAAGAAAAGCGTCTGGACTTCCAGTTTCTTGAAGACGTTTCACCTCTCATCCAAAAAGCTTTTTCAGTTCTAAGAGCATAAAGAGTGATTCAAATGTTCTGTGAAGATATGAAATGAACGTTGAGAAGACAGGAAGTGAAAACAACCCCAAAAACCACAAACCACAGACAGAGTGCAAGGTAAAGCATAAAGTGGTCAACTATCTCCCTGAAAGATTTTTCACCCGACTTCCATGCATCATGCACGCTCTGCAAGGGTTTCTGCTCTTTCAAACTTTGACGCTTCTTAGACATAATGGTAAGCTTTTATCCATTTCTTACAGATGTGCAAAAGTGTGTTGCTTTTAAATTTTGCACATTTGCTTTCAGCACTGGGGAGTCAAATCATAAAAGGCAGAAAGGCTGAGAAAAAGCAGATGATGTATATGGCATCAGTGCAAGACAGCAATGGACATATATGTGGAGGTTTCCTTGTCAGTGAATATTTTGTAATGACTGCAGCGCACTGTGCTCCTAAGTAAGTAATCAAAACTCTTCATGCAACCTCAAATTCATCAAAACATAAACGTTCAATTTCTGTATTATCATTAATGTAGGAATCCTACAAGTGTTGTTCTGGGCACTCACAATCTCAAAAAGGTTGATGACACAATGAGATATGATGTGAAGATGTGCAAACATTCTTTTAAGGATGTTCTATCTGGAAATGATATCATGCTTCTCAAAGTAAGTAGATAACTCCTGAATCTCATAGACATGCATCTCTTAGGTCCTGTATCAGGTTTTTGCTGCATATACTTACATGACTTCCTGATATTATTTATCTGTTATGTTGATGCTATATAGATGGATTTTGTCTTTTGTTTTTGTTTTAGCCAAGTGTTTGGCTAGTAGCTGTTTGACAGTCACCATGTTGGTGCACAAATACCATTTTATGCCTGTCAAACTGCATTATTCTCGTCACTGTTCAAAAAGAACTCTAAAAACCTGAAATGTTCTGAAAATAGTGAGGTATAAGAACTGGATATGAAATGAATTTTATGCATTTCAGCAAGCCATGTGTGAAGCCTGGCTCCTTGGAAGCAAACTATAAAGAAATAAGTGGTGCCTCAACACTTTTACACAATACTGTAGTTTATTTTAAGTAACTAGCCCAGGATGCATTACTCATGGGAAAGCACATGAAAGAAAGAAAGTTCCTTATTGCTTGCCTTTTGCAATATATGTGATACAAAACAAACATGTTTTTATTTACTTTAACAATGTGTTGCACATTAATAGGTATACTACATGTTAGTGATGATTATGTATTGTAGTACATATTGGTTATTCAACTGACCAGCTACACATGTGGACACTCTGTTATGGTTTGGATTTAAACCCTATTAAATTTGCCTTAAGTATTCTCTTTTCTATCTCATTCCTTATTTTCTGCCACTAGCTGTCCAGGAAAGCTCGCCTGGAAGGAAACAAAGTTATTAAGCCAATTAAACTTCCACATCCAAAAATTAATCTAAAGGAAAACAAAACCTGCAGTGTAGCTGGATGGGGGGCCATAAAAAGTAACGGTGAAAGTGTTGACGAGCTGCAAGTGGTGGATGTCCCCATCATTAACAAGGACAGGTGTCAGAGTGTTTGGCAGAATATGCTTCCGGCTAAAGTTATTTGTGCAGGTGGATACTTTAAAAACAAAGGAATCTGTCAGGTAACTTTTTTTCTATCTACAACCTATGATATTAAAAAAAGATTGATGATTGATGGGCAAATCAAATAATAATATTTCCTCCTCACAGGGTGACTCTGGTGGCCCTCTGGTGTGTGACAATTTGGCAGTTGGTGTCGTTTCCTTTAACAACTACAAAATCTGTGACTATCCGAATGTCCCCAACGTTTATACAGACATATCAAAATTCCTTTCTTGGATCAAACCCATTCTTAAGAAAAAGAAATGCTACTAATCTCTGGCTCTCTTCCACAGTGCATCTTGTGTCCTACCTTCCTTCCCTGGGCTCCAACCAGTCATGATCATTTTGTTAGATCTCAATGAGAGTTTTTGCTGTAATCAGAGCTAGATTTTCACCATTAGGGGGCAGCGTTCAATTAACTTTTCACCTCTGTCAGAAACAAGAAAATGGAGAGTTTGGTGTGAGATCAGAATAGTGTGTGTGGTGAGAACCATTTACTTACTGAAAGAAGGTTCTGGGTTTAAAGTTCCTTGTTGGCCAAGGTTTTCTCCCATAGTTTACCGACGCACTTGTTTGCTTAATTGATGATTTTAGATTTTACAGTGAATGGTTTTCTGTCTCCTTGTGTTACGCCTGCAAACAACTTGCAGGCTGTCCAGGATGTACCTTCCCTCTCACACTATGATAGCCAACTCTTCCTTCTTGACACCAATCAACAGCACGTCCAGTCTGTGAGATTACTGTTCATGTTTCCATATGAATATCATTTAAATTCATTTCATGAAGTGAAATGTAATCCTGAGTCAAGATGTTCTGTTACATTGTCTGGTGTCAGGAATGATTAAATCTCTTTAAGCATTTTGGCATTACAGTGAGTCCAAAAGCAAAAAAAATAAAACCTGAAGCTTGAAACTGTATTTTCTCTTACTCATGTCGTTTTCTAAACTTTTTTGGGGAACTTTGCTGTGGGAACATCCAAGGAACAGGCCAAAGGCTTTAGTTTTTTCCACTTTAAAAAGCAAAACATTGCTATAGATACAAAAAGAAAATTGCTTCAACCTAAGACCCGTGACGATAGCCAAAAAAAAAGTCTCAGAAAACATGGATCACATATGAGCCAAAATATAAAATGCCCTAATACTAAAACCATGCATATATGAATTCGGTATCTCAGTAATGTTTTAGTTCTGCACGCAGAACATGCAATATGTCTAACACCTTGTGAATATGCATGTATCTGCATTTGATGCTGTACTTGTGGCTGTTTGTCTAAAGCAAGTTTTTTTAGTCAGCAAAATTTTCTAGGAATTTATACATGTTCAATCAGATTGAAAGATGGGAGATAATATGACTCTTATCTGCTATATGCTATGGAGTAAATGTAACTGCACTAGTTATTAGCAAGCCATTGTTGTTTTAGCCAGTGTGAATGCAGTGTTTTCATCTCCGTGAGAATGCTGACATTATGACCGGTATCTGGTGACTGTGGTTTCTTTGATTCAAAAACACTTTATTACACTAATCACATGTGTTTTGGTAGCTTTGGCCTATGCAAATGAATAATGTTGTTTCTTCTTATGCTCTTCATTTGAAAAAGTTGTCCATTTAAAATTAAGTTGTGATAGTAAACATTTTCTTTGAAGGTAAAAGGCGAGGTAAGAACTAAGAACATTCACTTTCTGATCTGATATCCAAGCTAGCCTGAAAATGTCTCTTCTGAGAAGTGATGTAAAAAAGAGAAGGCTCGTTAAAAACAACTTTTTTTACACCAATGTGTAAAAAAAAAAGTCAAAAACATCTTCTTCTGTTCCGCTATCGGTTTCTCTACTTAATCAATCTGCTGATTAACTCATCTGCTTATCAAAGGAACAGAAGCTGATTTTTTAAGACTGAAGAACACACTTAGATGTGGGCAGATCTTCGTGTCAGCCGGATAATGTACTCAGCCTCAATCTCACCATATCACCGACAGTGCCATTCTGTTTTATTCACAGCTTGTAAATAAACGTATTAAACCTTTCCCAATGCTCAGGATGTGGGTCCATCCTTATGACAAAGTTACAGTGTGTAAAAACTTCACCTCTGGATGTCTGTTTACTTAATCTCTCAAAATTCCAGTGCATAATTTTATCTATGGTGGTTGCTGTAGGACAAACGTTTTAAACAGTCAAGAAAGAACAAAAACATTTAATATAGGATACATGCCAGAAATCCTTCCCATCATCTTTTCCTGACCTCTTGTCCTTGAGCTGGGTACGAGAATTAATAAGAACTTGGGAAAAGAGAAGAACGGTGAGCTGAGAATCTGAATGACCTTACACAAGTCTCCTTAACAAGGGATACAGCCTTAAGAGATTCAGCATGTGGACAAGGGTGACAAGAGTGAAATCAGTTCTTATCTAAGAATGACAATTATGGATGACATTTGGATGAGGTAAGGTAATGACTTAGCATTTGACATGGACTTTTTAAATTCAGAAATACAGACCTCTGCTGAAAGCTTTATCAGACATTTCAGTGAGCTAAATTGTTGAATAGCATCTTCTAATGGCTGAACGGCAGACACTCTGTCCACAGGCTAATGAGATTTGAAGTATACAGCAATAGATTATATGCATCATGTACTACAGCTAAAGATTTTATAGGAAAACAAATGCAAAATAATAATATAGTCAGACTAGTAGTACAAAGACTAAATGCATGAGAAATCAGCAAATGTGTGTGCAAAGAACAGTTTACGTACATGTTCTACAAGCAATAGCTTATCTGGATCCTGTAGTGTCTGCGGTTCATCTAGTTTGCTGCAGATCTCAAAGATAATGCCATTCAGCTGTGTCAAGCCTGGCATCTGCCTTCTTTACTTGTGAGTATAGTTAAACTACAGGTCAATCAATGTATGTGAAAAACCAGAGGAAAGAAAATCCAAAAATCTTGGAATAAACAACTTTTAAACACATTATAGTTTGCTTCCACATATGTCTATATGTTGCCAGTACACACTATACTATAAGGCTTTTGTAATGTTTTCAACCATTACATAACCAAGATAACCTTGAAGACCTTGGTGGATGCAAAATTTATTGTTGACTTGACTCCAATGACGTGCATTGCTTCCGTTAAGTCATATCTTAGCCATTTATGTGTAAATGGAAAACCAATGAGTCTGATGATAGAACTGAAGCAGGAAACTGGTTTCTGTGCTTCGTCATTGAAAGATGCAGAGAATAAGAGAAAAAAGCAAAGAAGAAAGTCACAAAAGTCACTGGCAATGATGTATAGACCAAAATAGCCACTTAATCATACTGACAAAGTTTGATTTCCACAGTAAAGTCTTTTCATCTGAGTTTCCACTCATTAAAAGTATCCAAAGTCACTTGATTTGTACCTACAGTTGACCAGGAGGCCAAAAAGGATATTGAATGAAACAAATCGGGAGGCCTAAAGTGTCTTAAATTTCAAATGTTAAACTAAAGATAAGCAGCAAATAATGATGGACGAGCATGTCTGTCCTTCAGACTGATGTGGCACTATGATTATGATCATGCAACACAAGTGTGCAAACTTACCTTGAACAAAGGATGTGGTTAGAAATAAAAATATTGTAGATAATAATCATACTTACCAGCAAAACAGACTGTTTTGCAAAAGGTTCATCTTTTGTGTTTCGAGTGAACACAAAGAAAAACAGGAGCATTAGAGACCAAAACAAAGAACTAACAGTTCAGGAGGCCAAAAGTGTGGCCACTGGCGAAGACAGAGCAATTTTGGAAGCTGACCAGGAGGCCAGCTATGAAGGCGGAGCAGATCTGGGTCTGGAGGCTGACAATGATGACAAAAACCATCGGGCGACAGGACTGGAGGCCAATGGTGGCCGCAAAGATTGCACCCCTCGGGAGGTCAACGGAGACCCTTGAGCGAAGCAAGTCCAGACTGTGCAGTGACCACTGACTCAAGTGGAGTCCAGACCACTGGCTTGGGCGAAGCAGGACCAGACAGTACGGAAACCTATGACGCAACAGGACCAGACGGTGCAGGCTGGGGGTGTGTGTGGCACAAAGCAGGTTCAGGCTGCCCTTCAGACTTGTGCTGAAAGGGAACCAGTGGCTTGAGTTCAGGTTCTGTTGATGTAAAGCAGTGCAGAAGATGTCAAAAGTCTCAGAAACTTTGGACAGAATATGAGCCAAAATAAAATAATGAAAAATAATGCAAACAATAAATAAATATCAATAGAGTCTTGCAGTTTTAACCCACATGCAATATGTATAAAACTTTGTATATATATGTGTGTATCTGTATTATTATTAATATTATTTTTTATTATGCTGTATTTCTTTGATGTGCATGTGGTTGTTTGTTGAAAGTCAGACTTATCAGCAACATTTTATAGCCAGTTAAACTTGATGTGTTCAGTTAGCATGTTAACAGATGAGCGATAATGCTCGACTCTTATCTATATGTATCAGTTCCTGTTTTACTTATTAATAGCGTGAATGCAGTAGTTTTATTGCTGTAACTGACAACAATGAAATTCATAAATCTGGTAATTGTGATTTCCCTGATTGAAAAACAATTCATCACAGAATTCAAATGTAGTTCAGCAGCTTTGATCTATTCCAGTGAATAATGGTGGGTTTTTTTTAGTTATTTGTTTAGGAAAATCCTCAATATAAATACCAGTTGTGATTGAATTGAAAGTCCTTATTGTCATTATACAAATTATAACAAGATTTAAAACAGCTCCATAGTGCACATGTGCTTAGCGCATTCTAAAAATCTATACAATAATATAACAATAAATATAATATAAATACACAGCACCAAGTAACACAAACAGACCGCCAGAGAACGATGATACAGTCAGTGCAGATACTGAAGTGCAAATTACGTTTGTGCAAGTTTTAGTTGAGTATGGTGATATCTTTGGGGAAGAAGCTATCCCTGAGTCTGTTTGTTCTGGCCTGTAAGGATCTGAAGCGCCTGCCAGAGGGTAGTAGGTTAAAAAGATGGTAGCCGGGGTGGGTATTGCCCTTCAAGATGTTTCTGGCCCTGCTGAGACAGCGGGAGTTATAGATGGCAGACAAGGATGATTTTTTGCGCTGTGTTTACCACCCTCTGCAGTCTCTTCCTGTCTGCAGCTGGCATGCCACACTGTCACTGCATAGGTGAGCAGGCTCTCGATGGTGGATCTGTAGAAGGTCACCAGCAGCAGGGTGTTTAGTTGCTCTTGTGATGGTATAGTATCCACAAAGTTAAAACTCAGTTAAAAAATATTGTTTTGCAAAGGTGAGACTTTAAAAAGGTATCATAATTACACTGTTTCTGTATTGTGTTACACTTTCACTTTCTGAGCTGACATGTAAGCTTGCCTGGGAAAAAAAGCACGCAAAATTTGGCTCCTTAAAAAAGATGTTTGATCAGCATTTGGTCATCGGATGTAAGGGTTTTTTTTTTTCTTGGTTTTACGCATCCATAATAAAACACAAAAAAGACATTCGCAACATTTCTCACATTTCTCAAAGTGGGGGTGGCCTGGGTGGGTGAAAAGGATGTGGTTCAAAGTCAAAATGAGAGTGATTATTATCATACTTACCAACAAGGCAAAACGCCCTATAAAAAGGTCTCCTTGATGCTCCTACCAGAAACAGTTCACCGTTTGGCTAACATCATGCACGGTCTGCAAAAACTTCTACTGTTCCATCTTCTTGCATGCCTCGGTAAGAACTGCAAGTCTTTGTTATCAATTTCCAACCATTTGTTGGGACATTAACTTAATTTTGGTTTTACTTTTTTAGGGCATGGAAGTGATATTATACATGGGGAAAAGGCAGCAAAGAACTCAATGCTTTATATGGCCTCAGTGCAGAACAAACATGGTCATATATGCGGAGGATTTCTCATCGCTGAAGACTTTGTGGTCACTGCTGCACACTGTGACGATGAGTAAGTAAGTTGTAAGTAATCCAACGTCTTTTGTGGTCAGTACGCTTTTATAAAATGTACTGACCAAGTCTCATTGATTACTTCTTCAGGAACCTTACACACGTTGTTCTTGGAAGCCACAATCTCAACGACCATCATGAAAAAATAGAGATTAAAAAATCCATCAAGTTTGAAAATTATAGAAATGTTCAATATGGTGATGACATCATGCTCCTTAAAGTAAGTACATATTCATAGTTGTAACAGTTTCAAATGAATTATAAGACCCTATATTTGTGGCGTTATAATTCAAATTACATCACAGCAAAAGAGTTACTGGATGAAAACAGACATTTCTAATTTTCCCTTCATGTTGTGTGTCTTCAGTTATCTGGGAAAGTTCAACACAAAGCACAGATAATTCAGCTTCCACATGCTGAAATAAGACTACAAGAAAATGAAGTGTGCCAGGTGGCTGGATGGGGTTTCACTGAAAATTACACTCTACCTAATGAGCTGAGAGTGGTGAATGTTTCTGTCATTCAACATCAAATCTGTAAGAAAAACTGGCCTGATCTTCCAGACAACGTTATCTGTGCAGGTGGCTATCGAACAAATAAAGGATTCTGTCAGGTATGTTTTCTGTCCTTTCAATATATACTAATTAGGTTTTGCAAAATATATAAAACACTTAATATAAACTGACAAAATTAAAATATGTCCTCCTCACAGGGAGATTCCGGTGGTCCTCTGGTCTGCAACGGGTTCGCAGTTGGTGTTGTTTCTTTCAACAAATATTTAAACTGCAAATACCCAGATGTACCCAATGTCTATACGGACATCTCAAAATACCGTCAATGGATCGACAAGATTCTCAGAGGTGTAATTTAAGCATTCCTGATTGCTCTGTCGATGTAACCAAAAGTGAAAATTAAAAAGATTCTGCTACTTCGCTCTGTCAAACTGACCTAATTGAATTTAAAGCTCCTTATCACTTTATTCTGTCACCATGGATTCTTTCAATTACAGCAAGTGTTGATGTTCAAGTTATCTTTTATTACAATGTTCTAAATGTATTTTATGACCATGGGCTGTAGATAACTTGTAACTTTATATGTTTCTGTGCTTGTAATTCTGCTGACGTGCTGTCTGTACTGTTGTTTGACCCCCAAAGTTAAATAAGCAAATGAAAACAGCATGGTTGTGTGCACCTTATTTTATTTCAGATTTCCACAACAAGCTTGGTGTCAAAAATAGAATCCCAAGCCTGTTTGTATTCAGGGTCTATAGGAGACTTGAGCATGCTAGATAAAATTAGACAATTATGAGCATGGCTAACACATCTGGTAAAGAAACCCCCAGTGAACAGGAAGCTTGCATGTTTACGAATGGGGTTTATGGGAAAAATATGGAAATTGAGCTATCAGCGTTTGGGTAAAACATTTCCACAAAGAGGAACATTGAGCTTGACGCAGCTAATAGATCATAAATCATAAAGTAAAAGAAAAAAAGCCAAGAAATAATTAAAAGAGTAATAAATAAACAAAAGTGTAATCACAAGTTGTGAAACACAAAAAGGGGAAATGACACCTGATTTAATTTTTTTCACTATCAATTGGGAAGCACTCAAGTACTCCTGTTAATTCCAGTGCTCCTCCTACATCTGAATAATTCCCTGAAGGTGTACAAACGAGTATTAGAGCCACAATAAGAAAAAATAATTGAGAAAAAAGTTGAAATAGTATTTCAAGAAAAAAGTTTAAATGTGGAGACTACAGATTACAAACTGCCATGGTTGCTATATCCTCTGAGTGAAATTGTACTTCAGAATCGGTTTTGGTAACAGGAAGGAAATGATTTCTCTATTAGCATGTAAACACAATGTGGTGATCAGTATAAGAACATTGATAAGATGGTGCAGAAAACTGCATCTGGATGGAAAAACACACAATTGTTGAAGAATGAATTTGCACACAAGAAAATGGCTTGTAATGGACAGACAGAAAGGTTATCGATAGTTACATCGATAAATGCAAGGGGATGTATGCTGGATGACAAAACGGCTGATCAATTTGTTTCAATAACTCGCCTAAACAAGGCATTTTATAGAGGGTATAGCAGCCGTAGCAGTATGTCTTTGGACAACAAGGGTAATCCTCACATTTCAACCTTTTTTTTTTTTTCGAAATACATTTTTGACTCTAATCTCAAAATTCTGACTTTATTCTCAAAATAATCAAAGGCATTTTTTCTTAATGTTGTTCTAATATCTAGTGAAAATGTGCATAGTAATGAGGCCTAAACAACACAGACTGTATCTATATAACACAGAGACCATCTATGCTCACAGTCATCCTCTCTCTGAATTCAAACCTCATAGCTTTGCATCCAGACCTCAGTCATTTGCACACTCATGTGTCATCTGATTGCAGTCAACATGTCAAGATATTTATCAGGTAAAAAAAACAAAACTAAAGATTTCTTCCCATTTGTGTAAACCTATGGCTCTCCAAAAATTACTTTTCACTGACTTGCTGTATGAATCTTTCTTCTGAGTCTAAAATAATACCTTTCCAATCAAATGTTTGCATTTCCAATACATCTATACAAGGAAGATTAAAATCACTTTCACCTCTCCCCACTGCATTCTCAAAATGGCTTCTGGCTAGTGTCTGTCTTATTATATTGAAATTGCAAATCTTTTCATACAATTTCCAGAAAACCATCCCACTTTCCAAAGTGAAAACTCTTTTTATAAGTATGCAGTTCACAGAATTGATGAAGCCATGTAAGAACTATGTCTTTGCTACCTGGTGTGGGACTGTGAGCTGCTGATTCGATTTCAATTCAATTTCATTTAAGCAGCACCAAACAACAACAACAGTTGCCTCAAGGCGCTTTATATTGTAAGGTAGACCCTACAATAATGCATGAGGGCCAGCCATCTGCCGTGACCTTGGGGTGAGGGGGAGGAAGACAGGATGAAAGACATGCTGTGGAAGAGGGACACAGATTGATAACAAGTGTGATTCAATGCAGAGAGGTCTATTAATACATAGTGAGTGAGAAAGGTGACTGAAGAAGAAATACTCATGCATCATGGGAATTCCCCAGCAGCCTACACCTATTGCAGCATAGCTAAGGGAGGATTCAGGGTCACCCCTGAATCCTCAAATGGACTGATTAAATGGCCTGTAGCAACGGGCCAAACACCCCATACTCCCGGAGCACCTCCCACAGGAGGTGTCCCCAGTTTCCCTCGGAATGCTGTTGAAGCTCTGCCGGAATTGTGCGTTGAAGATCTTGTAGACTGGGGCCTCTGTCAGGCGTTCCCAGCGTACCCTCACTATATATTTAAGCGCGCCAGGTCTGTCCAGCGTCCTCACCTGACAGCCGATCCAACTCACCACCAGGTGCTGATCAGTTGACAGCTCATCCCCTCTCTTTACCCAAGTGTCCAGAAAATATGGCCGCAGGTCTGGTGATACGATTATAAAATCGATCATCAACGTGCGGCCTAGAGCATCCTGGTGATGCGTGCGCTTACACTCTTATGTTCGAACTTGCTTTTCCATATGGCTAGACTGTGGCTTGCACAGAAGTCTAAAAACAAAACACCGCTCGGATCAGATCCGGGAGGCCATTCCTGCCGATCACACCCCTCCAGGTCTCACTGTCATTGCCCACATGAGCATTGATGTCTGCCAGCAGGACAACAGAGTTCCCAGGCAGATCACCCTCCAGCACGCCACACAGGGACTCCAAGAAGGCTGGGTACTCTGGACCTCCATTCAGTGCACAAGCGCAGATGACAGTCAGGGCCTGTTCCCCAACCTGAAGGCCCAGGGAACAAACCCTCTCGTAAAGGCAGCAAGCCGAGGGGATAATAGGATACCCACCCCAGCCCGCTGCCTTTCACCAGGGGCAAATCCAGACTGAGACAGAGTCCACCCTCTATCCAGGAGACTGGCTAGAGAGCCCAAGCCGTGGTTTGAGGTGAGCCCGACTATATCTAGCCGGCACACCCCGAAAAAGGGACATGGGCCCATTCTCCTGCAGGCCCACCACCCACAGGAGGCTCCGTAGAGATCAGGTGCCGGGCAGCGGCCATGAGCAGAGACCCTGGTGGACTGATCCCCAGCTACCAAGACTGGCAATTGGGACAGGGAATCTCATTTCTCTGGTGGGGAAGGAGTGCGTGAGCTTAAGAGGTACTGGCTAGATATAGTCAGAGAGAGAATCAAGTTGAGAACTGTCTTGTTATTGGCTTGGTGCATTATTTGATTAAAGCCTACTTTTTTTCCAAACGTTTTCATTAAAAATAAGGAACGCTAGATAAATGTGTTACTCTTTATTTATTAGGAACACTTTTTGTCTAAAACATTTTCTTGTTAAAATCAAAATTTAATTGTAAGAATGTATCTGAATATATTTACAAATGTACAATTATAACAAATGCACGATTGTACATTTGTTATAATTGCACAATGCAAATAAATACAAATATTTACAAAAAATTAACTGGAAACAGTTGGACCAATGCACACCTCATGCAGATACGAATTTATAGCTGCAATAGAATTTTGAGCAAAAAAAACACCCCGATCAATGTTGAAGCTACAGTTAATAACGAAGGTTTGCATCTTTTCGCTGTAACATATGAAATGTATCACAATAACATCTATTTGCTACCTATTAAAGGTCTTTATTATAGCTTCGCCATCGCTTACGGCCATACCACCCTGAACACGCCCGATCTCGTCTGATCTCGGAAGCTAAGCAGGGTCGGGCCTGCTCAGTACTTGGATGGGAGACCGCCTGGGAATACCAGGTGCTGTAAGCTTTTTCGCTTCTACACACAAACGGCAGAGGCCGCTGCTGCTCAATCAGTGGAGACCGCTTCAGTAATTACTCACCGATAACATTTCTAAAAATTGGAAAATGCTGACTTTTAAAAGCTTCGTAACAGGTTTCTTCAGGCCGGTTCTCTGGTTGTGAAAATCCAGCGACAAAAAGGATCCTCATTATTTCCTAGAGAACACTGAACAAATGTGTTTTTCCTTTTTAGATCTATAGTTTATTCATTTGACCTACATTTGGTATGACATTTTAAAGAGTTTTACCTTTGTGACTTCGAAATATTATCTTATATATTATACTTAAAGATTTTATCTAAAAATATACGTATTTAACTTTATTATAATGATTTTATTTCAGACAATGTGATGTAACTTGATACAAATAGTTGTTTTCTTTCTGACAGAACAGGAAGCATCAACTTCATAGTAGCTATTTGCATAATTAAGACATCAACTATAAGTGTTCCCTAAATTTCCTGCACACATGAAGAATTCCCATTCCTCATATGTGCCATGTTGTCTGCAAACCTGACAGTTCAAAAAATCCTGTGTTGATTAAGGATGGCGGTTATTTCCTGAAACAGAGAGCACTTGCATTAGATAACTACAGAGCACTGCTTCTTTAATGAGCATTTTGATTATTTGCATTTAGTGTTCACTGATATTATGCTCATTAAAGGGGGGATCCAGCAGTGTTGGGACTAACGCGTTATTAAGTAACGCGTTACAGTAACTACGTTATTATTGTGGTAACGAGCACGGTAAATAGTTATTATGCCAAAATCAGGAACGCGTTAGTCGTTACTGGGATTTAGATAGGCTCGTTACTCGTTACTTCGTGTGGTGGCTATCGCGGAGCTTCCACAGATTCA